TGACCGGGGGGTGATTTTCATAACTATTGGAATCCACCAATGTTGACTAGTATATTATGCCCCATCTAAATGCTACCTGCAAAGTAGTGATAGGTATTAAGAAGAAAAAAATTTTAAAAAATATATAATTTGATAAAAAAATCTCTACCTACCTATTTTTTTTTATGGGTAACCGGAACCTCAACCTTACCTTTGTGACTCTGTAGAATCAGGCCATTTTCTATTTAATTAATTCTCCGAACTTCCTTATGAAGCGTAAAAGAAAATAATTTGAAAAGTTATGAACAAAATGTCGAACATTAAATTTTTCTTGAAATAAAATCAACTTCTATCAGTACTTTTAGTACTTTGATTAGAGAAACATCGAGCCCGATGGTCAAAATATTGTATAAGCGATAATTTTTATAATCAAAATCTGTTGCGCGAGCGCGCCGTCGCGCCGAATACAATTAGCCATTGTGTATGGCTCGGCAAGAACTTCATACGTAAAAGCTCTCGATGCAATTCACCACGAAGGCCTTAGACTGTATTAAGGAGCTTTTCAAACTTCTCCTGTAGTTTATATGTCTCGGCAAATGAAACAGCCCTCGACTTCCGTAGAATTAAACTTACCCCTACAATATATTCTGAAATTTAAAGCAAATGTTGAAAATCTTGCTGATTCATTTTATTTTAATGGAATCTGTATTTTTCATAATTTTGCTTTTAAAAGAAATGTCAGTTTTTATTAGAAAGGGGAATTGCGTGTAAAAGTCAAGTTGTGTTTTATTAGTTTTCATTATTAGTATCAAAAATCATGGAAAACGTCTTTGTGTTGTCAATACAACTACTATAGACAATTTTATATTTATCTGATATTTCATCCAATTAATATACATGATGCAAAATAAGCCATGCTGCCATGCACATGACAATTGTAATGATCTTTTATATATATATATCTTAAATTATATTGTGAATATTGCCCACTCTCCTTTTTTTGAATACAACTACTTGATTTTTAGATCATGCACTGAGTAAACTCAGGTGACCTATTGTTATCTGTTTTCGTCCGTCGTCCTGCGTCGTCCGTCGTGCGTTAACATTTGAACATTTTCATCTTCTTCTCTGCAACCACTGAACCTATTTCAACCAAATTTGACACAAAGCATCTATGGGTGAAGGGGAACAAACATTGTGAATTTCATGATCCCTGCCCCCCTGGGGCCTGAGGGATGGGGCCAAAACCAATAAAATTAATGCAATCTTTAAAAATCTTCTTCTTTACTCTTGGACATCAAGCCGTCAAACTGTTTGCATGATTGTAATCAGCAATGAGTCCTCTACCGAAATTGTGAAATTCATGGCCCTGTGGTCAGGGGTTGTAGTGCTAGGGCGGGGCTAAATAAGTAGGTAGTGAAAATGCATTATTTCTTTGAAAATCTTCTTTTCTGCTTCTGGGTATTAAATAAACCAACTAAGTACATAGTTATGATAAGCAAGAGTGCCTCTACCAAAATTGTGAATTTTATGGCCCCTGGGTCAGGGGTTCTCGTTTTAGGGTGGGGCTCTAATGATTATTTAGTGAAATGCATGAATTCTTTGAAAATCTTATCCTTTGCTCCTGGTTAATATACTAATGATCTAATTACATATCTAGGGCCAGGATTTATTTTATTTTCAGTTTAACAAACCCTCCACTCAAGGTTTTGAATTTTCAGAAAAAAAATAAAACAATTTTTTTCTTTCCGATGTCAAATTTGAGTCGGGATCGAGTTTTCAAATTTACGAACTCGCACTTCCGGTTTTAAGATGAAACAGCAGGTAAATAAAGCTAGATCTGAAAAGAAAGTTTGGTATAGTGAAAAAATTCATCGATACGAGTGCCATTCAAAAAGTTTCACCCGTTCAAAGGACAAATAAAATGCTGACGACTTTGTTGCACAATGACACGCTGGTGAGATAATTATGTATTCGTTTCAAAAGTATCTGTCTGTAAATTATTTTCCTCCCCCAGGTTTTAAACTGCCCGTGGTAGCTACTGCATATTGCCAGCGACATTGTTTAGGTCTCTGTTATAGCTTACCAGTCTAAGCATCATTCTTCAGAAAAGGGTTGCTTATGCATCAGATGTAATGAATAATACTATGGGAGAAGTTAAGTCCAATTGAGGAAGAAATAAACAATACCCTGAAGAAATAAAAAAAAATCAACTACTAAAAGGCAAGAATATACAAATATATACAGGCATGTAGTATCATTTGTATCAGCCAGAAAAATTATTTTACACTTAATTGAAAAAATGTTCACCGTACTCCCCAATACTTCCTGTCTGTTTTATGATAGGAATTATAATTTTAGACATCAAGTAAATTTTAGAACAATGTCTACACATTCACCTAACACATATTTAAAAAATGAAGATATGTTGAAAGACTTTCAAAGAATTGATTATTTAAAATATATTTTGACCAACATCACAAAATGTATATAACTGGCCCAAACTGGCAGATGATAAAATAAGCAATTAAATGTTCTACTTTCCTATTTGTAAGCATTATGTGTCCAGTGGTAAGGAGCCGATTAGAATAGCATAAAAAGAATGTACAAATGTTAATAATTGATTTATCAATTTTTTTTATTTCCTTCTCCTTCGGGACTTTTTTATTCTCATGTTCATAACGAAAACTAAACATAAAAAAATGCTGGTCTTATAATGAAGAAAGGGGCCTCTTTCAAAATAGATAATATCAGGGCCGCTGGGTCAGGGGTACCAGGGGGGTACTTTGAATAAAAATAAATTAATGCTTTGAAATCTGCCCTTTGATAAGCAATGGTGCCTCCTTCAAAATTTGTGAATTTCATGGCTTTTGGATTAAAACACGAACCAAATACAATCGCCATGATACTCAGGTGACCTATAAGGCCCATAATAAACGTCAATAAAGATTGCCTCCATCTACAAAGTCTTCTCTCTTCAAAATGGTTGTGGAATTTATAATTAATATTAATATGGTGATGTGTATATATATATATAGATGTATTATCTTACCTTCACGACAGAATTTTCTTTGCGAAATTTCACAATATTTGAACGAAGCAAATGTGCATTCTGTGGTTGTACTTCAATCATTCACGATTGCCATCTCCTGGTGTTGGTGCCATAAGGTCACCCAGAGCCCATTCTCATCTAACATTGTCCTGGTCATGCACTGCTCCTGCTTTTAGTTTTTTTTATCTTGGTGGCATTTCGCTCTCATTTCGCGTGCGCTCTCAAAATAAGTGGACATGCACTCTCGGTTTCGCTGATTGAATGAGCTGCCTGAAGCTACAAATGTGATGACTTCACTTTCATTGTTAGAGATTATATTTGAAATTTTTTCAGTGCTCTCCCTTGGTGATTTAATTTTTTGTCTGTGCTTTTTTTCACTTGATATTTTTTCTGTCAAATTATATTGAGCAGTAACTGTTTGTTTCATGCTTTTGTTAAATGTTTTTTCCATACTTGGCTCCATTATTTTAACCAATTGTTCAGCACCATCAACAAGCCTCTCGGCATGCAAATTCTGTATTTCTTGTGCTAGTTCATTTGTTTTTGTTATAATGTTCTGTGTAGTGTCACTAACAGAGGAATGCATGGAAGAAATTGCTGGGTTATTTGCCTCACATTTGATACAGTCTACCAATCTGTGCATTTGTCTCTCTCTCTCACGTAATTTACTCCAAGATTGCAGATTGAAATTTTGAATGAATTTGCTTTTTTCACCATTTCTGTTTCCATTTTTCAAAAATTTATTATTTGTGATGCACTTCTGCAATCTTGGCAGATTTGTGGCAAATGATTTTGGCGATATATACATTTTTTGGAACTTGTTCATGACTGTCATTTAAAAGTCATACCTTTTGGAAACAGACACAGTGTTGCTGAATTTTCTGAGTGTCTGATCCCCTGTTGTCTCTGTCGTTCCTGATGACTGTAGATCTTTACAGTTTCTTGCTATGATTATTTTGGCAAATTTGCAGAAATTCATCGTGTTTGTTAATGAAAATGATAAGACATTCACTCCAAGGTTAAACCTCCATCATGGAATATATTCTCTAAGAAATATAATTTTTTCATGTTCAAAAAAAAAAAAAATTAAAAAAGGAGGGAGAGATTTTCTTGTTAATTTTATTTGTTTTTATACTCATAATATGCCTTAATTTAATTTATTTTGAGCCAGAATTATTTTTCCTTTGAGTTGCCTTGAGCTATTTCTTATATAATACGTTTAAAAAATTAGAAATATTTGTTTGAAAATTTATTTTGTTGTCATTGTGATAAATTTTATAGTTGCAGAAAGTTGATTCATCAGTGTTTTTATATCTTAATGAAAGTGCATTTTGTTTTGAGATTAAAGTTTTTAAAATAATATTATGTATCAGTTGCTTTCCCAATAATTTATACTTTCTTATTATGCATAAAACTTAAGTATAGGTTAATTTATCCATATTGGTTGACTGAATGCTAAGTAAAAGTTCTTTTTGTTGTGAAGGGGGGGGGGGGGGGTGTTCATTATATTACGACCTCCATTCCGTTTTTACACAGCCAATTGTGCCTAACGTTAATTTAACATGAAAATAACGTTAATTTAACGTTAAATATTTAACGTTAAATTAACGTCAATCGAGCTTATACATGAATTTAACGTTAAAAAATTAACGTTAAATTAATGTTATTTTCATGTTAAATTAACGTTAAGCGTTAAATTAACGTTAATTAGTTCACACTAATTTAACGTTAAAATGCATAAAAATTGTGTGCATATTTTTGGAATTTTCCTTCCTATTCTTCCAGAAAAATACATGTTCTTGCATCATAGCACACGCTTAACTGATACTACATGTAATCATAATATTATTTCTCTAAAGGTACACCAGAAGCTCATCAGTTTTGCACTTTTCCTTGTAGCACTACAGAAAGCTAGGCTTGCATGTTGACTTCATCCCTGGTGTCACTTTCTTTTCAATTTGAACATATCCAAAAGGATAAAGGGACCCATCAGCTCTTTCTACAAAATCTCTAAAATTCTGAGCATTGCCTCCGATTTCAAATTTTCTGAAGAAAAGAGAAAAACACCAATTTATCCATTAATACTTTTAATCAGGCATATTCAATACAATGCTACAAATCTTCTTTCTTTTTCCAATCTGAAAAAGAAGAGAGGCAAACACATATATTATAATAATTATATGAAAATAAAATACTTCAGCAATACATTAACAACTCAAATTTGTCTAAAATATAATGAATGAAACAAGAGGTCCATTGGCCACATCCCTCACCTGAGCACATGGGCTAGCTAAAAACACAGATCAGTTAAGTATTGAGAAGCTTACTTTATACTTATTGGGGAGGGGGATTTGAATTTTCTATTACTTGAAAATGTCACTATTACAATACAGCATACATACATGTATATTATTTTGCCATACTTGAAAAGAAGATTTTTAAAGATTTTTCCAACACATTACCTGATCTCCCATTGTGACCCCTCGCTAACCCACAATCCCCGGGGCATTATTTAAATAAATTTAAATTTTTACTACTTGCAGATCATGTCAATTTGACAAAACAATTTTTTTCTGTTCTGGAGAAGATTCTTTTTCTTATGTATTCTTATGCAAGTCTGCGATTCCTCATTGTGGCCACACCTTAACCCCGGGGGTCCTGATTTGAACAAATTGAATCTACATTTAGTACCTAATGCTTCCACATCACGTCATGAGATTAATCATTCCTGTCTTAATGGTTCTGAAGAAGATTTTTAAAAGGTTTTTTCCTATGCATTCCTATGTAAAATTTTGGTTGGCCATTGTGGCTCCATCATACCCCCGGGGGTCATGATTTGATCAAACTTGAATCTAAACTACCTGAGGATGATTCCACATAAGTTTGGAAAAGATTTTAAAAAGGTTTTTCCTATGCATTCCTATGTAAAACTTGGGAACAAATTTGAATCTACATACACTACAGGGGTCAAGAGGTCATAGATGTGCATATCGATAAATGTTCAACGGAATTTCACAGTGACGTCATAAAGGGTCGACACGCATTCAGTGTCTTGTATACATGCCATTTGTTTTGAAAAATAATGCATTTCGCATATTAAAAGCCGCAAACAGCGTGATAAGGCAAATATAAAGTACAAATAAGTTGCAAATGAAAATATAAGTAATAAGGTATCATTTTAAAACATCCAACGGGCTAAAAATATGGGTTGGTACAAGATTAAATTCATTATAATTCCCTTCAGGCTTTATGGAATTTAATCTTGTGAGTCATGACCAACCGATAGTTATGTCCGGATAGATGTTTAAAAATACCTTATTTCTTAAGTAAGACTGAAAGTCCATTGTGCCCCCCCACCCTGGGTTGAAGAGGCTTGAAAGTACACTATCTGAGGATGCTTCCATTTAAGTTCCATCTTTCCTGGCCCAGTGGTTCTTGAGAAGAAGTGGAAAATGTGAAAAGTTAACAGATGGACAGACAGACGCCGAACAAAATGTGATCTGAAAAGTTCACTTGAGCTTTCGGCTCAGGTGAACTAAAAAGCTACTAGTATTTAAAAACTATATACTTCCGTATATATTACTATACAGAGAGACTGGCAAACAGACATTGTGTTTCCAGTATACTTTCAAAAAAATTTAGGGGTGACATATTAGATGGGTTTAAATATTTGATATGTGTTCGGAATAAATGCAATTTACCTGGTATTTTGAAGATTGCTGAAGGTGATGAAATATATTCACTTTCTTGTGATTATCATGTTCATGTCAGCAAGACTTTATACTGAGTAAACCTACAATTATAAAAAAAAATAATTAAAAATCATTTATTTGAAATGTAATATCTTCAACATATATGATATTCATAGATAGAAACCAAATTTTATGTGCAGCGTCTGATTCAAAGCAAACTTTTAGTACAGTGAAAGCAACTTGGCTTTAAATTTGTCTCTTTAGCATTAATTCTAGATCAATTTATAAATTTTTTCTAAATAAAAATTATGAATACACTATGTATATACTATTTTATAAATACCCTTTATTCCTGCATGGTTATCCTGAAAAACATCAATTCAAGGAGGCACCAAGGAATGGTATATAGAGGCTGTAGTCTGCTTTTTTCTCCACTTCTACTTCTACCGGAAAGCGGCCGCCATCAATAAGCTGATTATTCTGCCACTTCTCCATGTCTTGCATAAAAGTATCTTTTCTGTATTATGCAGTAAAAGAAAAAATCTTGATTTAATAATGCTTATAGAATGTTTCTGAACAAAATATTGACAAGTGTCAAGTAGTGACAAGTACTTAACTGGTATTTTAAAAATTCAGTTGGGGTGTGTGAATGTAAATTTCACTGTCATTACATTTACTGTGGGAATTATTTACATTTTGTTCCACTTTCAATACCTGTTTTGAGTTCCACTGGCATTATAATTTAGGCAGCTCGGTTCTTCCGAGTCTCGACGACAAAGTCCTATTTGATCCATTTCAGAAGTGCGAGTCAGATGTGATACCGAGTCCCAGCTGTTTAAAATACAATAAAAATAGATATCAAATCGCCTTTAATCGGGTTTTTTTCTCGATAATGATGAAACCAATTAAGAGAACGGTTAGAATCAGGGAAAACATCGCTCACATTGCGTGTTTAACTTCAACTTCGAGATGGTTATTGTTAACTTGTACACAATTTCTACTTTCACTTTCGAATTTTCTCCGTATCGTACGTAGGGCGGCAGTACTGATGTACCGGTAGGCTTCAGTGTTCAAACAAATAACCAACTGAACAATAAATAGACCTAATAAAAATAGTAATTCTGATATACAAATATCCAACATAGCAGAGATCTGGCACGTCGTTCACAGCCTACGACACAATCAATGTAAGATTAGACTGATACTACAACGTATCGATACCTACATAGCCTGCAAGGACTGTTGAGTAATTATGCGTAATGTTGCTGTACATAAAGTTCAAACATTTAGGGACCTCTGAAATTATGAAACTCTCAAAAACGTAATATTACAAAGACTACAAAATACTTACTATTAACAGAGACTTGATAAATCCTTTTTCCTCTGTGTTTTCAATTTCTGTTACAGCTGATGACGTCAAACATGACGTACAGTTTCGTCCGATAAAAACAAAACCGATCCTGAGAAAAGCTACGGACCATTTTTAGCCGGAAAAAATCCAAATCCAAGTTGGCATTTTAAAAGATAGACATAGAGCTTATAATTTCTAAGTCTAGATAAATTACTTTTTTAAGAATGTATGAAAAAAAATGGACGAGGTGAAGAGGGTGCTAACAGTTAGAGCACCCTCCCTTTCCCAAACCCACACGTGTAACACACCCTTACACAAACACAAAGGCACTTGTGTCGGAAATGAATTGTGTCGGAAATACTTTTTGAACCTATGGTATAATACTAACACAACTGTTATCTTTATATATCTATATTGGCGTTAAAAATTTATTTCCGACACAAGTGCCAATCCCCTCCCCCCCCCCCCCCCCCCACCGCCCCCCGGCGGTTTTGAGTATCCACATATGGACATCTTAATAATTAATTAAATGTCACTAAAATGATTGGCAAGTATTGTTTAAATTTAGGTCTAAAATTTGAATAATAACATTAATCTCGTGTTATTCTAATTAACATGAAATTAACATTAAAGAATTAACGTTAAATTCACATTAACATGAAATTAACATCAACTAATTAACGTTAATCTAATGTTAATATTTTGGTTCTAGTTTTTTAAGACAGAACCCAAGCTCACTTAAAATTTAATGTTAATTTAATGTTAAAAATTAACATGAAATTAATGTTAAGATAAATTAACGTTAAAAATTAACATGAATTTCATGTTAAGTTAAATTAACGTTAAAAATTAACGTTAAATTAATGTTAATATTTTTAACGTTAACTTAACACGAAAGTAACATTAAACTAACATCAAACTAACATTAATTTAATGTTAATTGAGATTAACACTAAATTAACGTTAGGCACAATTGGCTGTGTACCTCCTGTAACCATACACTATTTTGAATAAAAAAAGTGTGTAATATTTATTTTTTCCATCATTTAACTGATTTTATATGTATTACAAGTACGAAATAAAAAAAATCTAAATACATAAATACATTGCCACTGATTCGTGTTTACAAGTGAATAAAGAGTCTCTCATAGTTATCTCTCCTGACAGTCCTGTTGTCTTTGTTCTTGGTATATCCAACATGGAATTAACACATTGTCGTCCTAAAAGTAAAAAAAATATAAGTAATTTAATGATATGAAAGTATTTTTGTGTTTATATTTGTTGATGGGAGAAAGGAGTGTCGAATTTTTCATACTCTTATACGAAATTCCCGCCTTTGTTTCGATACAGAGTCATGCGCCTTTACTATAAATCTTAATCGGGGTTGCGTTTTAAAAGGGGGTTGAGTTAAGGAAAATGTGTATAGCTCGTCTTCAGCGCATTTTCGCAAGGGCATTGCCTTTATTGACATGTTTGATATTTCACAGGGGTTTTAAGATGGTATCGAAGGAGCTGAAAAGTACTGCTGGATTGTTTATATCTTAGGATTTCGTTTGTTATTGGACTAAAGATGACGTAATATTCCTATCAACGTCGTAATTTCGAGTTTGTTATTGGATTTTCTATGGAAGTACCGATATACAAACAAAGCAGCACTGGTTTTCAGGTAAAGTTGACAACATTAATTTAAAGCATACCAAAATTTTCTGTGTACAATAAGCTTATGCCCTTGCGAAACTGAATTATTTGTGTGACCTAATAAAATGTTTATAATTACATATCACGTGACAGGCACGTGATGAAACCAAATGCACAAGCGTGTCGTGAAGGACGCTTCACTATAAACTATATATATATATATGTAAACTGGGAGATATGCATGCGAGGTGTGGTATATATGACAACTGTACAATAGGATGTTTTTCATAACACAATTCTTAGTAATATAGCTATAGGCAACCTTAACAGTGCTGCGAAGTAATAAAATATTAAGAATAATGATAATTTATCAAAAAGGTCATTTAAATCTTATGATACTTTCAAGTGAAACGTGGTGCTTACTCTTCCCATCACGGTCTGGACAGCCTCTGCCGAGGTCTCTGTGCAGGGGTTGGTGCCTCCATCCCAACTGGTGGCCACATTGACTTAACCTATACAAACGAATAATGGTAATTATATAATATCAGAAGTATCAGTTCTACTAACGAAGAGTTATTTTTTTTTTTAAAATAAAAAGACACAAACCGCATGAAAAAAACCAAGAAGAAGTTCAATATGAAAAAAATATGACGCAGTGGAATCTCGAATTCGAGGTCGAAAAAAAAACTATTCTAATTTAAGTGTTAAGTACGACGGCGTATTCGTGCCATTTTAACAAATGAAGAAAATCTTTTTAAATCGTTTCAACGATTTAAGAAAACGCTTGTACGATTTAATAAATTTTTTGTACAATTTAATAAATCGTTTGTATAAATTAATAAATTGTATGTACGATTTAATAAATCGTTTGTACAATTTAATAAGTCGTTTGTACAATTTGTTTGTTAAATCGTTTGTACAATTTATTTAATCGTTCATACGATTTATTAAAATAGTTTCTACGATTTCTATAAATCGTTTGAACAATTTAGGAAAACGTTTGTACGATTTAAAAAATCGTACGATTTAATAAATTGTACAAACGATTTAATATATTGTACAAACTATTTATTAAATTGTACAAGCGATTTACTAAATTGTACAAACAATTTATTAAATCGTACAAACGACTTATTATTAAATTGACAAACGACTTATTAAATCGTTCAAACGACTTATTAAATTGTACAGACGATTTATTAAATTGTACAGATGATTTATTAAATTGTACAGACGATTTATTAAATTGAACAAACGATTTATTAAATTGTACAAACAATTTGTTAAATCGAACAAACGTTTTCTTAAATCGTTCAAACGATTTTAAAAAGTTTTCTACATTGTTAAAATGGCACGAATACGCCGTCATAGTTAAGTACTTTGATATGAATCGAATTTTCCCATTAATAAGAAAAATAACTTGGGATTGTGGATCTCATTGCAAAAACCCAGATTTGCACAGTGTATCCTCTACTGATTTACTGCGTGCTGCTTCAAATGTAAAGTACATCGTGTAGATACAGTAACTTCTTATGGATTTACTGACCCCCAATCTCCGACCTGTAAACGCACCATCTCTACCATTCTACCCTCCTCCGGGCATGTGACCCTCATGATCCTATACCTCCACAGTACCAACCCCCTAACTTTTCAAAAATATCTATTTTTTTTAAAGTCCTACAAGCTATATGAACCCCGAATTCTGTGTGAAACAAAGATGAAAAATGATTTGAAACGTGTAAACGTTCAACATCCAATATACATATATGAGTATAAGGGTCATATAGTGAATAATAAGTGTACATATTTTCAGACAAATACTTGCAATAGTTTCCGAGAAACGGTTTCAACAAATTCACATAACATTGACAAAACACCTATAAAATGTAGAAAAATCATCCTATCCCGATGAAATGCCAGAAAGTGTACGTATTAACTCTACTCACATTAAAATAAAACCACAACACAATCATACAATGCCTGAGAGCCAGTCGAGATTGCTGGACGCCCGTAATTTATTACAGTTTTACATACATGTGTCACAGGGTGAATTATAATTAATTAATATTACTAATTATCATTCATATCATTTTCATAAATTTAGGAACAAGTCCCCTTCCAAGGGAAGATAATCAAGGAAATACACAATTGGGTGAGTTTTTGAAAAAAAAAAAATCATTAAAAAATAGTGGTTCACTATATCTTCAGACCACCTTTGTAGATCCCTGCAATTTTTTTCGTACCCAGCCTTGAAATAAATACGAGATTTACCGACTTTGTTCTATTTTGGATTCTCCATATATTCTAAAAAAAAGTGAAAGGAAATATTCAATTTCATAAATGTTCTTTACTGATATAAATTTCTCGCCAAGATTTTTCGTGACATGCCTTATATCATGATTGTGCTTTATATCTGCAAGATCCTTTA